CCTCAGGGACTGCATTTTTTCATCTGCATAATATTGCGAAAATTAGGCCTATCCTGACCCGAAAAGATGCAGAAAAATTGATCCACGCTTTTGTTACCTCAAGGCTGGATTACTGTAACTCCCTATTATCAGGTAGCTTTAATAAGTCTTTAAAAACTCTCCCGCTAATTCCAGAATGCAGCAGCACGTGTACTAACAGGAACTAAGAAACAAGATCATATTTCTCCAGTTTTAGCTTCTCTGCACTGGCTCCCTGTAAAATCCAGAATTGAATTTAAAATCCTACTGTTAACTTATAAAGCTCTAAATGGTCAAGCTCCTTCATATCTTAGTGAGCTCATAGTGCCTTATTATCCCACCAGAACACTGCGCTCTGAGAATGCAGGGTTTCTCTTGGTCCCTAAAGTCTCCAAAAGTAGATCAGGAGCCAGAGCCTTCAGCTATCAGGCTCCTCTCCTGTGGAATCATCTTCCTGTTGCAGTCCGGGAGGCAGACACCATCTCCACATTTAAGACTAGACTTAAGACTTTCCACTTTGATAAAGCTTATAGTTAGGGCCGGCCCAGGCTTGCCTTGTACCAGCCCCTAGTTAGGCTGACTTAGGCCTAGTCTGCCGGTGGACCTCCTATAATACACCGGGCACCATCTCTCCTTCTCTCTCTCTCTCTCATGTCCTGCATCTTGCTAACTCAGCCATACTGCATGTCACTAACTCGGCTTCTTCTCCAGAGCCATTCCACTGTCTCGCAGGTTAACTTCTATCACAGCAGTGCCTGGATAGTGTGACGTGTGTGGTTGTGCTGCTGCCGTGGTCCTGCCACATGCCTCCTGCTGCTGCTGTTATTATTAGTCATACTTCTACTGTTATTATACACATATGATTATTGTCACATACATATACTATCAGATGTTAATATTTATTTTCTACATATTGTACCACAATAGCCAGAAACATAATTATAATATGATTACTTTCATTAATGTTTGTTGTAAGCTATTAACATTATCGTCTGTCCTGCATCTCTCTCTGTCTCTCTTTCTCTCTCTGTCTCTCTCTCTCTGTCTCATTGTGTCATACGGATTACTGTTAATTTATTATGTTGATCTCTTCTGTACGACATCTATTGCACGTCTGTCCGTCCTGGAAGAGGGATCCCTCCTCAGTTACTCTTCCTGAGGTTTCTACCATTTTTTTTCCCCGTTAAAGGGTTTTTTGGGGGAGTTTTTCCTTATCCGCTGTGAGGGTCCTATGGACAGAGGGATGTCGTATGCTGTAAAGCGCTGTGAGGCAAATTGTGATTTGTGATATTGGGCTTTATAAATAAAATTGATTGATTGATTGATTGATTAAAGCAAACACAAATGAGCCCAAAGCCAGCTGCATGGCGGGGACCTTGTCAAGCAATATTACAGACTGCATCCACACCGGCAGACAGCCAGTCGGCAGCAGACCTGTTGACTCTTTTGGGACAGACCTGCTGAGGCACAGCAGGTCTGTCCCAAAAGAGAGACAGCACTGCCCCCTTGTGGCAAGAGACCGGCACTCTCCGACAGGCTGCCATCCCTTCCCGTGGGTTCTCAGCACCCTAGAGAGGGGCTATGCCTTGCAGTTTGCTCGCAGTCAGATCGAAACGGCCAATTTTGGACTTGAGAATCTTGAACAAACCATTGAGGAAAATGCCTTTCTGTATGTTGACACAACACAGTCTATTCAGAACAATCAGACGGGTGGACTATTTTACTTCGGTGGATCTGAAAGATGCATTCTTTCACGTCCCCATTGTGGAGAGGCACAGGAAATATCTGAGGTTTGCTTTTCAAAACAAAGCCTATGAATTTTGTGTCCTCCCCTTCGGTCTGTCCCTGAGCCCCCGGACATTCACTGCATGCGTAAATGCGGCATTGCCCCCCCCCCTCCGGGAGAAGGGAATACGAATCTACTGTTATCTCGATAACGAGTCAAGGGGCTTCGCCACTACGCACACCAAAACGGAGACAGATCACCTCCAAACACTGGGCTTCCTCATAAACTGGAAGAAAAGCGGCCTCGTGCCCAAACAAGTGACAACTTTCTTGGGGCTGGAGCTGAATTCTCAGTCCATACGAGTGCACCAATCAACGCGTAAATCCAGTAAGGGACAGTCACCGTAGGCTTATGATTACACCGCGGTGCCGTCAAACCCTAAAGGCATGGGTGGACCCACACCTGCTCTCAGCTGGCATCCGTCTGGGTCCAGTGTCTCTCAGGGTTGTTATAAAGACCGACGCATCTCTGTGGGGGTGGGGCGCGATGTGCGACGGCCGTGCAGCAAACGGGCCGTGGGGAGTGCAGGAAAGGCGTCACATAAACATGCTAGAGCTGAAAGCAGGCCGCCGGGCTCTGGCATGCTTCACGGACTGGATGGTGGTCAGCATGTGTTGATACGGTCGGACAACACTGCCACAATCGCGTACATATACTGACAGCACGGAGTCCGCTCCTCAGCCCAGAACCAAGTGGCATCTCAGATACACTTGTGGGCGCACAGACATCTGCTGTCCCTATCAGCGGCACACATTTGCACCCGCAGGTGGTGGAGGAAATTTGGACTCGGTTCGACCAAGCCCGCGTTGATCTGTTCGCATCGCGGCTTGCAACAGACTGCCCACTGTGGTTCTCCATTCACAGCGACGATCCCCTGTTAGGGCACGGCGCTCTACCACACCCGTGGCCAAGAGAAAGGCTGTACGTGTTCCCCCCGGTCCCGCTGCTCCAACAGGTTTTGGACAGGGTGAGGGAAGGCAGGTTGCAGATCATCCTGGTGCCGCTGTATTGGCCATCACAGATGTGGTTCGTGGACGACTCCGTGGCCGCTACCAGTGTGCACGGATCTCCTAACCCAGGAGGGAGGAGAAATTTTCCACCTATCCCCTCACAAGTGGAAGCTGGTGGCTTGGTTCCTGAACGGGAGCGTCTGCTAGGTGAAGGTTTGCCTCTAGCAGTAGTGGAGACTATACAGAGTGCCAGGGCTCCATCTACCTGTTCTCTGTATACATATAAATGGCAAGTTTTTACGCGCTGGTGTGCAGCGCATAATGAGGATCTGCTGAGCTGCAGTATAGGGATCTTCCTCCAGAGCTTGTTAGACAAAGGCTCGTCTTCCTCCTCCCTAAAGGTCTACTTGGCTGCAATTTCTGCTTGCCATATGTATATTTACGGAAAATCAGTAGGTTGCCACTCTTTGGCATCTCATTCATGAAAGGCGCTCGACGCTTGCGGCCACCTGTAAGATGTGTTTTACCCAGGTGGGATTAAGTGAGGGGCTCTGGAGGGGCTCTCAGGGCCTCCATTTGAACCTGTTGACATGACCGATTTGAAATTTCTATCCCTGAAGACGGCACTATTACTAGCCCTGTCTACAGCGAAGAGAGTCAGTGATTTGATTGCCTTGTCAGTGCAACAATCATGTATGGCTTTTTCGGCAGATAAGCAGCGCGTCACGCTGTTGCCTAACCCTGCATACCAGCCGAAAAGTATTGAGGCTGGTTTCAGATCTGTGGTTGTGGACTTGGTGGCATTTTGCCCCCCTCCTTTCGCATCAACAGAAGAGGAGCACTTACATAGACTGTGCCTGGTCCGCGTGCTCTTGGCATATTTGGAGAGGACGCGCGCGCTGCGCCGTTCTAACCAGCTGTTTGTATGTTACGGGTCCCAGTCCCGTGGAATGGCCCTATCCAGAGAGCATCTGTCTCACTGGATGGTGGAGGCCATAACATTAGCCTATTCCTCTTTGGGGAAGGACCCCCCCAGAGGGCCTGAAGGCTCATTCAACACAGAGTGTTTCTACTTCATGGGTGCTTTTGTGCGGTGTTTCTGTGGAGGACATGTGTGCGGCTGCCTCATGGTCGACTCCGCACACTTTTGTAAGATATTATAGTCTGGATGTGTCCAATGCGTCCTTTGTGCTCGTGGTATTGTCTGCAGCCAGACAGTGAAACGTTTTGGCCTCATTAGCATACTGGTGTATATTATATGGGATAACTTATCGCGAGTAGCCATGGTTTCCCATGTTAATTCCTCCTTAGCCCAGAAGGGATACGCATGTCAGTATCGTCTTTATGGCCAGCAAGGGTGGTGGTATGTGTTGTAGTTTGAGTAAGAACTCGAGTTCGAAATGAAGTAAACCATGAGGGTTGTGCTACAACCCAGGTTTTACGAGTGAAGAACAAGAGTTCTTACTAATTCAACCTTGCTGTCCCGCCATATGGGTGCGGGCTGAATAAGCTGCAATCGGCAGCTGACAGTGGCAGGCGAGCTGTGTCTATTATAGCTGCGGGGACGGGCCCAGGCTCGTCATAGGGAGAGAGCCTATCACCTGCCACACTGGCCAAGATGTAACTTGGGTGGTGTTAAGGTTTTTATAAATAAAATTTATTCAGCAGCACTGTTGATCGCAGCTTGGTAGCATGAGTAAGAACTCTCGTTCTTCACTCGTAAAACCTGGGTTGTAGCACATCCCTCATGCTTTTTTTATTGTTTAAAGTGCTGTGTAACTGGCCTTTCTTGAGAGTGGGAAGAGTGAGGGAGTCACATTATGTTATGTCTAGGTTCCCCTTGACCGGGGACATAACAGAGTTCATCACTGAGTCCAAGTGGATGTTTGTGTCAAATTTGAATAAAATTCCCTCAAGGTGTTCTTGAGATATCACATTCTCAAGAATGAGACAGACATGGTCAGAGTGACTTTGACCTTTGACCTATGACCATCAAAACCTAGTCACTTTATTAATGAGTCCAAGTGGATGTTTGTGCCAAATTTAAAGAAATTCCTCCAAGGCATTCTTGAGATATCACGTTCACAAGAATAGGACAGAAGGACAACCCAAAAACATAATGCCATTGGCCCCGGCTATCACCGGAACAGATGCATAAAAAAAGATAAACGAAATAGTCCCAAATCATGTCAGAAAATGAAAACTGACACATCACTGTCTCTTTTATTTTTATCTGTTTTACACAGGGACCGGATTGATCCCTTTGCCTTTAAGTTCCAGTTTAAAAATGTGGAATATTCCTCAGGCCGCAACAAGACCTTCCTGTGTTACCTGGTGGATAAAGGGAACACAACTAATGGGCTACTGAGAGGCTATCTGGAGGATGAGCATACTGGGCCTCATGCTGAAGAAGCCTTCTTCATACAGTGTCTGCCGAACTACGACCCTGCACTCAAATACACAGTCACCTGGTATATATCTCTCTTAAACTGTCTGATGTTTTGTAGTTTAGAGAATGTGGCAAATTAAAAGACAGCTTCATTACTATTATTATTATTATTATTATTATTATTATTATTTAAGTCTGGTCAGTACTGGCCTTTTTTCATGTCCAGTTTGAATATATTTATATATTATATATATTTATATATGTATATAAATGCTCTTATGCTCTTTAATGCACAAATAAACCAAATATGAATTTTGGAGCTCTATTCAAATATAATTCACAATAACTGTCTTCTTTCCAGACATCATCTAAACTTTAAACTGACAAATGTCAAATTTTAAATGTAAAAAAGTAGATTTTTATGTATTTAAAATACACACATACTGTACATGTACATAAAATACACACTACTTATTTATGGTTGCATAGTGTGCAGCCATACATGCAAATAATATACCCATATAATATATGTTGCAGGTGTGATGTAATATATACAACACAATTAACTGCTATTCAGAGCTAAACAAATTGTGGTAATATTAAAACTATACACGAAAATGCTGACTTCTGAAATTTGAATACTCATGGAAAAAAGGGTCCACATTGAAAATAATTTAGAATTATCTCTCAAATGCTTTCAGATGTGAAATGCTGTAAGCATTGTTATATTCTGACTCAGTATCTCTTATGAGTCTCTCTTTGAATACCATGCATGTGTAATCCCTCATGTTCTGACTCACTCCAGCAGAATGATGAGACTGGCTTTGATCAGGTTCACAGCATTTAATTGTCATCCTCTGTGTAAACAGATAAAACAACACAATAGTGTGGTTGGCGTTGTCCTCACACACACACACAACTCCTGCCCTGTAATATGGAAGTCCAAGCAGCAAAAGGGCGTGATTATGACACTCAATGTGATTGTATAGTTTTTACATAAATATGAGTTATCTTTTTTAACATGACATGAAATCATGAAATATTTTTCTCACAGCACCAACTATTTTTAGCCATGAACCTGTTTTTTAAGTATTTTTTTCCCAAACACAATATAACAATGAATTAATATAAAAAAAAATAAAATACAAAATCATGTGCAAAGGCTCTTACCAATAAATAAACTAATAAATAAAATGATTAATTAAAACATTGCTTTTTTATATAAAACATACATGTGTAAACAGATAAAACAACAGAATAGCGTGGTTGGCGTTGTCCTCAGACACACACACAGCTCCTGCCCCTTTGCACCAGAAGAGACGCACAACATGCACAATAAAGCCCCATCAGTTGCACAATACGTTGTCACTATCGCGCAATCCTAGCTAACAAGTTAGCAACTTCGCTCGGTCTAAACACAGAAATAACTGCACAATACCAACTTACTAACGGTTGCAAAACTGTTTATATATATACATATACTTTGTTTTCAGTGAAATTTGTGCATTGCAGATTAAAATATAAAAGTCACGGAGCTGTGTGCACTACAAACCGTAACATGGAAGTCCAAGCAACATAAGGGATGAGCTGCTGGCTTCCGGTAACTATACCAACCACATCTGCCAAAATAAAATATTCCTCCAAAATAAAATAAAAAACTTGGGAAACTGTCAAGTAATGGTAGCTCTTAGAGTCAAACCAAATGAATCCCACAATGTTTCATGAGCAAGTCTATAAATAAATATTGCACACGTAAAACACAACAACAATGTGCTCTGTCAAGCCATAGGGCTGTTCAGTTTAGAACTCAGGAGGGCAGTGCAGCGCTCATCACAAACCTTTCACAGATGACATGAAAAGTGCCTGCATATACTTTTCACATTCAATTCAAAATCAGACTCACCATCCGAAATGCTCAGCTCAGAGGTATAAAATCAAAATAAAAACAAAACCAATAATGAGGGAGAACTTTAACCCACTGTGTTCATACTAAAAAGGGAACTTGCCCATGTTTTTAGCTTATCTGTCTTTGAAGAGTCTGACCATTCATCGTCTGGATAAGTCTGTTGACAGGTCTGACCAATCGGCCAGCTCTAGTCCTAACAGTACCATCAGGACACAACCCAGACAAGGCACTCTGAGATACATCAGGCCCAACACACTCAGGGCTACTTGGGCAGTTCAGTTCATCAACAGGGGATATGGCGAAGGAACATCTCCAGCTGGAGATGAACCAGCCACAGACACATTCACAGTGTCATCATCCATCACTTGGGTCTCCTCCAGTGGCACCAGAACTCTGGGCACATGAATAGAGGCTGCCACAGGGATCTGAGAGACCCAGTGTTCAGTACGGGCATTATGGTCCACTGCCCCGACAGTCATAGCAACCTGGTCAGCGGAAAGATCTGCAGTGTCATTCACACTTGAGTCACAGGAAGAGATTGTAGGGGCACAGTCAGGCTGTGTGGGATGGTCAGTGGAGAGATCGACAGCTGTATCCCCATCCGCAGCACAAGAAGAGACAACAGAAGCAGAATCATCAGACTCGGGAAGGACTGGGAAGAAGTTCACACAGAGCAACAGGTTACGGTGGACAACTTTTGACTGGCCTGATCTGGGGTTACGAATCTCAGCTGATGACTATATAGACAACATTACCCCATCTGTCCGCCAACTTTTGCGTCCCCTCTCACCTTTGTTCGCCAAGAGAACCCTATCACCGGGCTAGATCACTGCACCCTTGACTCGTCTGTTGTAGACGTCAGCTTGCTGCTTCTGTCCAGCACTTGCATGTTTCTCTGCCAGCACCATGGCTTCACGAAGATCTCTCCTGAGATCCTCACTGTGCCGTGGGAATGGGGCTGCACTGTCATCTCTCAGAACAGATCTGAACAGAACATGTACTGGCAGGCGGGGAACCTGACCAAACATGAGGTAGAATGGTGGGAACCCAGTTGTCTCATGGGTGGTGCTGTTATACATGAACGTCAAGGTGTGTAACATTTGGGGCCAGGCCTGCTTTGAGCGCGGTGGGAGGGTCCTGATCATGTTCCCCAGTGTACGGTTGAAGCGCTCAGCTGACCAATTACCCATCAGATGATAGGGTGTGGTGTGGGACTTCTTTACACCTGAGACCTGGAGAAGGGCAGCGATCAATTCACTCTCAAAATTAGTGCCCTGATCTGAGTGAATTCTCTCAGGGAAGCCGTAATAGCAAAAGAAGCTATCCCACAACCTCTGTGCCACCTGCTTGGCAGTCTGGTCAGGGCAATAGAAGGCATGCGCCAACTTAGTAAAGTGGTCTGTTACAACCAACACGTCGACAGTGCGGTTCTTGGAGTCTTCAGCAGACCAAAAGTCTATGCACACTAATTCCAGTGGCGCTGTTGTTTTGATGCTCTCAATCCAACTCTGGTGTCTTGCCCATAACACACCTGGCATAGCACTTGACGGAGTTCTTCACATTGGGCTCCATAGAACACCAGCAGAACCTTTGTTTCACAAGAGAGAAGGTTCTATCTTGGCCCTGGTGGCCCGCTTCATCATGACATCCACGTACAGCATCATCTATGAGCGACAAGGGAACCACATACTGCCTTTTCTTCCTCTTGGTGACCAGATCTTTGGACACACAGTACAGTATACCATCTTAAACCACCAACTTCTCCCACTGCCTCAAAAGCCTAAACGCATTCATGGCTTCACTGGGTCTCTCTCTCTCCTCGAAGGCCTGCGACCTCGCTCATCGTGTGTGTGTGTGTGTGTGTGTGTGTGCGAGTAGCTTGTTATTTTCTGTCTGTCCTTGTATGCTGTTTTTATCTGTTTTGCTATTGTACTGTATTTTTTACTGTGATCTGCCAAGGGACTACAGACGCGAATTAGCTTGAAGCTATAATCTGGTATGGTGCATCAAATGGTGACATTTATGTTTGAGCTGTACATTGTTCCTTTTAAATAAATAAAATAAAATAAAAACATAGAACAACACCCTTGACAAGTCAGCATCCTCATGTTGTTTGTTCCTGAGGTCCTGCTTGGAAAAGGATGGCAATACATCCTGACCAACGGACATGACACTCAGGATATGATCTACCAGGACCGTAGATCTGAGTCTCGTAGATGTATTCCAGTTAAGATAAGAAAAGAGATAAGATACACCTTTATTGATCGCACAATTGAGAAATTCCAGTGTTACAGCAGTCAAGGGTAAAGAGTCAAATTAAAGATTTAAAGGGCCAGTGTGTAAAATGGGTTTAAAACCGTTGGAAACAGTGACATCAGTGGTCAAATTCTAGATTGCAGGGCTCACTTGCTCACCCCTCGGGTAAATGACGGTGGCCTCGTAGGGACAAAAAGCCTTGCGCACAAGTTTTTCAGGAGTAGGTCTATCTAGTGACGAGGTGAATGTTTATTTAGAAATCTAAACCATGTTATGATATTGTAATGAATCCCTCACGAGCAGGAGACCAGAGGAGCGTTCGGGAAAAAGGCCCGTTTATTTGAGCACTCCAGAAACTCCGGTAACACTCCACTCCATCCCAAACTCTGACTCTTCTGGCGTAACAGACACACTTCATAACTTTACACACATACTCGTTTACCATACTAAGTGGGGACCCCCCTCCCCTCTCTGCTC